GGAGGGGACGACTCCTTCACCACCTTCTTCTGTGAGACCGGGGCTGGGAAGCATGTCCCACGGGCCATCTTCGTGGACCTGGAGCCCACCGTGATCGGTGAGTGCTGGAGTGTGCATGGCCCGGGGCGCAGCACTGGAGCAAGCGGCTGGTGCTTGTGGTCTGCTGGCAGTATCCCGCACCGTGTTCAACCTGAGGGCCCTCCTTTCCCCAGGAGAAGCCACAAACCTGAGCACCAGCTTTTGTCCCTGAAGTGTCCTAGAGGCAGCGGTGCTGGTAATCTCTGCTACCAGGTGTGCACGGAGAGAAACCAGCCCAACCGGCACGGCAGCTGGGGACAGGCAGCTCTGACTGATGGGAGAAGCTGAGCTTCTGCGCAGGGAGGAGGCAGCCACCTCCATCCGCCAGAGAAACCTGATGCCTGTGGTGGCCCTGCTGACATGTGGGTCCTTGGCCAGTGCCCACGGCAGGCGGAGCAGGGAGGAGGGTGAGGGTTGGGTGCTCACTCAAATACACAGCCCGTGTTAGGCCCAACCCTCCCCTGCTCTCTCCTAGATGAGGTTCGGGCTGGAATGTACCGCCAGCTCTTCCACCCCGAGCAGCTGATCACCGGCAAGGAAGATGCTGCCAACAACTACGCCCGCGGGCACTACACCATCGGCAAAGAGATCATCGACCAAGTACTGGACAGGATCCGGAAGCTGGTAGGTGACTGCAGAGGGGGGACGTGCCCACCTGGGCTGAGCTCCAGCATCCTGCAGGAGCTCAGAGCATGCCGCAAGCCCTGCTGCGCCCTGGGAGGGCTCTGCAGCTGCCAATGGCAGGGATGGACCAGATGCCAAAGGCCCCCTGAACAGTCACATGTTCACAAGGAAATCCATCTCAGAGCAATCTCATGCATCTCTCTCCGCAGGCTGACCAGTGCACGGGACTCCAGGGATTCCTCGTGTTTCACAGCTTTGGAGGAGGAACTGGCTCCGGATTCACCTCCCTGTTGATGGAGCGACTCTCAGTGGACTATGGCAAGAAGTCCAAGTTGGAGTTCTCCATCTACCCCGCACCACAGGTCTCCACCGCTGTGGTGGAGCCCTACAACTCCATCCTCACCACCCACACTACCCTGGAGCACTCGGACTGTGCTTTCATGGTGGACAACGAGGCCATCTATGACATCTGCCGCAGGAACCCCTGTCATCTCCGCAGAGAAGGCCTACCATGAGCAGCTGTCAGTGGCCGAGATCACTAACTCCTGCTTTGAGCCGACCAACCAGATGGTGAAGTGCGACCCTCGGCACGGCAAGTACATGGCCTGCTGCCTGCTGTACCGTGGGGACGTGGTGCCCAAGGACGTCAATGCCGCCATCGCCACCATCAAGACCAAGCGCAGCATCCAGTTTGTGGACTGGTGCCCCACGGGCTTCAAGGTGGGCATCAACTACCAGCCGCCCACGGTGGTGCCGGGGGGGGACCTGGCCAAGGTGCAGCGCGCCGTCTGCATGCTGAGCAACACCACGGCCATCGCCGAGGCCTGGGCTCGCCTGGACCACAAGTTCGACCTGATGTACGCCAAGCGAGCCTTCGTACACTGGTATGTGGGCGAGGGCATGGAGGAAGGGGAGTTTTCCGAGGCGCGGGAAGACATGGCCGCTCTGGAGAAGGACTACGAGGAGGTGGGCCTGGACTCCTACGAGGACGAAGAGGAGGGTGAGGAGTAGAGAAGCCCCTGCCAGAAAGGACCGTGCTCCTTCTCCATGTTACCTGCAGAAACCCTTTGCAATAAACCATTTCAGAGCTTCCGTGTCTCCCACTGCACCCCCAGCCTTCTCGGTTTCTTGCCAGGTCAGGTGTGTGGTGAGTGCTTCAGCTCTGCTGCTGGTGCTGCTATGCTTCCTCCCAGCGCTCCGCTCCAGCTCCGGCTTGCTCCCCACATAGGTAAGGGCCCCCAGGTCCGCTCCCTGGGTCTGTGGCGCACATCCCACCCCGCTCACTGCTCCATCCAGGGGTGGGTACCGCTTCCTCATGTGGTATGTGGTCCCATGTTACGTCTTGGAGCCCAGGGGAGCAGATTTAGCCCAAGCAGGAAAAGATCTGCGGCTGCTGGGACTTCTCCCCACCTGTAGCCTGAGGGTAGGTGGGCTCGTCTGGAAGGAGTGGTTGAAGCAGCAGGAGCAGCCTGGCACCCGTTTCTGCGGCCGCAGCACGGGGCAAGGGGCATGCCCAGGTCTGTGGTGCAGCGGGTGCACCCCGCAAGGGCATCCAGCGTGGCATGAACCCCCGCGGCCGCTTTACCGCTGTGTTGTGAGAGGATTAAAGGAGGGGAACGCTCCCTGTGAAACTGCTTGTCTGCATCTCTTTTTTCACCCTCTCCCCACAGGCAGCCCAACTGCTGCGCATCCCAGTGAGCCTCTCCAGCCAAGGGTGGCTGTGCTGTCCCCAGGCTCTGCTCATCCCCACACCAGCACAGCTGCTGCCCCTGCCTCCCACGTTCTGCCAGCTCCTCTGCCTGGGCACCCACCTCTCCCTCCCTGGGCAGCCAAGCAGCTCTGCGTGTACCCCTGCCACTGCCCGCCTGCGCTGTGCTGAGCCCCCTCCTGCAGTGCCCAGCCCCGGAGGCTCTGAGCAGCGGCGCCCGGTCCGGCCGCAGAGCCGTGTTCACTGCCCTCAGCAGTGTGCTGGGGCCAGGGATTAACTTTCCCTGCTTACTGCTGATGCTCCGGCCGTGCCGCCCCGCCGGGGCTGTCCTCTGCTGCCCTTCCCCTCCAGCAATGCTTGGCTGCCCAACCCAGACAGCACGCCCGTCACCCCCATGCCCCGGTGGGACCCCCGCAGACAGCAACATGCCCACGCCTCCGCAAGAACATCTTTTACTCCAAACACAAGGCAACACCGGTGGCTGAGAGCAGCAGCAGAGCGGGTGCCGGGTCCCCCCCGCCTCTCTCCAGCACAGCACCAGGACCCAGACCGCAGCTCTGCCCCGCGAGGGCCCCGTGTTCAGCAGCAGGTCACGCGTCCACAGTCCTGGGGCACAGACCAAGTCCCAGGCAGCAGCACGCACGGCACAGACCACTCCAAATCCACCACACGGCCAGCACAGAGCAGCAGCTCTCCCCTGTGCAGCAACCCCCTCTGAACGGCTCCGTGGGGGAGCAGGGACGAGGGCACCTGTGCTTCCCCCGGCTCAGCCTCGGGGTGCGTCACCGCTGCGGGCTGGGATGGGCTCAGATCTGTGTGGTGTCCTGGCCCGCCGGCGCTGGCTGCAGCCCCTCCAGCTGGTGGAGGACCTCATCTATGCTGGGTCGCTCCTGGGGGTTCAGTGTCATCATGGAGGAGAGCAGGCACTGCAAGGCGGCCGAGTACCTGGATGGAGGGAAGGTGGTGAGGGGATTCTGCGGGGTGCATGGTGCTGGGGGCTGTGTCTGAGCCGGGTCACCCTCCCCAGTCCCTCACCTGGTCGTGGGGGGAACGGTGATGGGGTTCTGCACTGCCAGAGCCACGCTGTCGCCCTTCTGGAAGATGGTGTCGTAGGGACCCTCCCCAAACATCATGCAGTACAGCACGCAGCCTAGGGACTGGAGCGCGGCGGGGTCAGGGCAGCCCCGCGGCGGGGGATGGGGGCCGGGGGCCAGGTCCTTACCCAGATATCTGTGCGCTCGTCTATGATGCACTGGCTCGGCACCGTGAAGAGCTCGGGGGCACGGTAGGAGATGGTGCAGCGCTGGGCAGCCCAGTCCTGCGGAGAGGAGGGGGAGGGTGGGGATGAAGGGCTCAGGGCACAGATGGGGTGGTGGGGTGATGTGCCAGGACACCCACCTGCACGGCCATGGCCTCCCGAGAGTTGCTGACTTCAATGCGAGCTCGGTTCATGGAGCCCAGGTCCATCAGCACGGGCCGGTCATCCTCATCCAGCAGCACGTTGGTGGGCTTGAGGTCCCTGCGGGGATGGACATCACCGAACACCCGCTGGGCTCCCTGCCACCCCCCACCAACCCCCAACTGGGGCTGCCAACTCCCCACCTGTGTGCGTAGCCCTTGCTGTGGATGGCTTGCAGCCCACAGCAGATGCCATGGAGGATGAGGAGGATCCGCTGCTCTGGCAT